GCGATGGCGGGTACTTGAGGTGATGCTCGATGTGCTTGTCGGATTTAGGGCCTTTGTGCTTGTAGATGACGTGCACCTTGTTGGTGGTGCCACATCTGTCCAGCCCAAACATGATTGAGTAGGGGGATTCGTTGCCGAAATTGACGGGTGTCCATTGCAGGAGAAAGAACTTGAGATACACTCTAATCCCTTCTGGAATTATAGAGATTGGGTTTAAACTTTAGTTAAACACCATAAGTATAGAGTTAAATTATGCTTTAAGTTAGTCAACCGTGTTTAACTTACCCATTATTCTTATTATACATTTGGAATTCATCAAAAATTCAAAAGCTCAAGGGTGGTTAAGTGGTGAAGAACCTTAAGAGAAGATTAAATTTTGTATTTTCACACTAAATTATAACATTGGTATTGGAGCCTAATTTAATTCTCATGGCTAACAAATATAAAACGAGAACCAAAGTTGGTAAACCTTAAGAGAAGTACCATTGGTGACTAAAGGATAGCCTAAATATGATTGTAGATGATCATTCCTAAAGGATTGTTAAGCACCAAATTAATGTAATAGAATAGAAAAAAGGTTTATAAACAAAACCTCCATTTGTAAAAAAAATGCATGCTTTAGGATTTTACTTTAGTCCCAAAAATTAGTCTTTAAAACAATCATAAAAACTTATTAGATTGTAAATTTAGATGCAAGAATAACAAAGTGTATATTTGACAAAATGCCATGTTAAAGTTTAGTATTGTGGAGTTCACTATTGTATGGATACACAGGATCAAGAGATATGGACTTTGACACGACGATTTTTTGATAAAATGCCATACCAACATCTAGTTTCTTGGAACACCATGCTTGATGCTTATGCCCAAAACGGGTATATGGTAGAAGCAAGGGTCATGTTCAATGCAATGGTGGAGAAGGACGTAATTTCTTGGACTAGAATGCTTGCTGCCTATGGTCTTAGTGGCCAGAGTTCACTTGCAAGAAAAACTTTTGCCCAGATGCCAGGGAAGAATGAAGTTTCTTGGGATGCAATGCTCACTGCATGTACCCAAGCAGGGGATTCGGTTTCTGTGTTTGAGTTGTTTCACACTATGCAGATGGCCGGCATTTACAACCAAGTTGGATTTGTCTCCGCTCTCAATGCTCACGGCCAAGTTGGCAGTGTTAAATGTGCTAGAAGTTGCTTTGTTTCGATGGCTTTTGATTGTGGCATTCAGCCATGTCACCAGCATTACTCCTGCATAATCGATGGCTTGGCAAGAGCTGGTTACATTGACAATGCAAGAGAACTCATTGCAAACATGCCATTTGTTCCCACTTCTTTGGATTGGCTGTGCCTTTTAGCTGCATGTCGGAGCCTCGAGTGTGGAACCTGCGTATCAAAATGGGTGTCTGGAATTGCGAGCAGCAGAGCTATGTATCGTCTCCTGGCAAATGTATGCGCCTGGCATTGACAGAATATAAGGAAAAAAAAACTGCTGCCTGGATTATGTTGTCAAATTGCTCAAGAATTTAACTAGAAGTACCAATTGCGTTTCATGCTTGATAAATTCAAATATTGACAAAATGGGAAAAAAAACAAATCATTTGTCTATATAACACCCAACATTCCCAGGATCTGAGCGTGGACCTCCTGGACCAAATCACCAGGGGCTCTGAGAGATCGCGAGCAACTTCAATCAGACAGATGCCTTGCAACACCTAGCGATTGAGGTGTGTGGAAAGTGCAGCAGGCGAAAATTGTGTTTGATGATCCGCTGAGGTGTTTGATTCTATGCGAATGTTCTCAAAACTCTTCATCGAAAACTATCAAACGACCAATGTTTAATGCCTGACGACGACCATGATAGGTACTAACAAAGCAAATATTCCTTTGGGTCACGATGCTCACACGAAGCTCTTTGGAGCGATGGAGATGGAACGCGATGCCCTCGTCATGGCAGCGTGGGGCTGCCTTCTTTGCAATCGATACTCCAGCCGACTCGATCCAACGCCTTGGACTTTTCCAAATCGTGCGGTGCTTCGGTATCCAGCCTAGTCTCGTTGCACCAAACGACGATTAAGTCAATGCAAGTGCTACGTCCATATCACCCATGTTTTGTATACACTTCCTTACAGATTGGGCTTCACAAGAATCTTAGACAAGCACGTTTGATTCCTCTGACAATGGCACTCAATGTAGCTCCGACCTCTCAAACTCCTTGAAGGATCGGTCACCAGTGATGTAGAACACAAAGGCGGGAGGGGACGTGTCAAGGATATACATCACTGCTCCAAGAGGGAGGCAGAGCATGGAGACGTGTACCGCAGCGAGTGCTGCCACTAGCCAAGCGAAACGAAAGCCGTAGCCTGTAAAGTGTCCAGGCCTTCCCGAGTACTGGGAGCGCCATGGCGAAGACCGAGTCGGAGATACCTTCCCTGCCAAAGAAACAGAAGAACATTAGAGAGCTTTGATTGATCAAAACTGTCACACCTGTAATCGAATGTCTGGAGAGATGGATCTACAACCGCTGAAACGCCTCCCGTGGAGCATCGAAACCAACTGAAGCCATTCTCCACGACACGGAAAGCATCGGCCTCTTTCGCCCGGGGACTGCTTGCTCCCCAAGTCGCGGTTGATATCAATCCTAAAAGCATTCACCAGAAACTTAGAGAACACCATCATAACTGCGCTCTACCTCTTTTTCCCGGCCTGGCGCATCAGGTCTGGGAACTCGAAATCGTAACAAATAGCTCCTCCAATCCGGCCGAGCTCGGTCTTGATGACAGGAAGAATGGGATCCCCTGGAGTTCCATACCAATGGAACCAAGTGGGCTTTCCTGTAGCTAAATCCAATGGAGCCATCGGGAAGAACGAGGTCGAAATAGTTCCCGACTCTTCCAGTGCTCACGTCCTTGTACTCGTAAGTGATGCCAACGTAGGTGCCGTGCTGGGAAGCGATCTGTCCGGCTTTGAATTGGAGAGAATCCCTCTCCTGTTTGAGGTCGAGTTTCACCGCAGCCTCGGACCAGAGGACCAATCGATCGCCGGCTCGGAAGTGCTGGCTCGTCCTGTTGAGCATCACATCCATGTCCTCGTAGAAGAGGAACTTGCCCAGGACGCAAGAGACCAGCACTGTTTTCTTCATCGTGAGGGCGATGTCCTTCTGGAAGAAATCACCCGAGAAAATGGAGACCCTGGCGCTGCTGTAGAACAAGATTGAGAAAGCAATGGCCCCAAACGCCAGGGAGTGGCCCACGATGCAGCTGTGTAGCATGCTTCTCGTCGGATTTTTCCTTAACGGGCTGTGGCTCACCTGTTAACTTGATTCAACCGTTGGCAGTCGTCAGATTGGCCACAGCCCGTTAACTTGATTCAACCGTTGGCAGCCGTCGGATTGAGTCAGGTTCTCTGCGAGAATGTGGCTGACAATTGCCAGGTTCTCCAGAACCTAGCTGCCAGCTGCCAGGTTCTGGAGAACTAGGCTACCAGTTGCCAATTCTAGAGAACCCTCTCATCCTCCAATAACATTATTCCACGTGTCTGTTAACGGTCTCACCACAGCCCGTTAAGGCTGTTCCCGGGTACAGCCACGGTGACAGTATATTCAAATGAGGACATTGACTATTCCATTGTGTAGACCAGTTATTTTTACCAATCCTTCCATTGTGTAAACCAGCTATTCCATGTGAGGCACTAGAACCTAGCTGCCAGTTGCAGGTTCTGGAGAACCAGGCTACCAGTTGCAGGTTCTGGAGAACCAGGCTACCAGTTGCCAATTCTAGAGAACCCTCTCATCCTCCAATAACATTATTCCACGTGTCCGTTAACGGTCTCGCCACAGCCTGTGTCCGTTAACGGTCTCGCCACAGCCCGTTAAGGCCGTTCCCGGGCACAGCCACGGTGACAGTATATTCAAATGAGGACATTGACTATTGACTACCATGTGAGGCAACTAGTCATCCACTCGTACCGCAGTCCCACGGTGGATACCTTCGTCCGTGGATACTCCACACAGAAGGACGTACGCATGGATGCCCAATACGTACGATTCCAGACATATGCATGGATGCCCAATACGTATGATTCCATGTGAGGCAATTAGTCATCCACTCGTACTGCAGTCCCACGGTGGATACCTTCGTCCGTGGATACTCCACACAGAAGGACGTACGCATGGATGCCCAATACATACGATTCCATGTGAGGCAACTAGTCATCCACTCGTACCGCAGTCCCACGGTGGATACCTTCGTCCGTGGATACTCCACATAGAAGGACGTATGCATGGATGCCCAATACGTATGATTTCAAATTTAGGGGTAGGAATATACCTTGCTTAAGGGTATATTATACTTTTAAGTAACCACTAATCAATAGGAATCGAACCCGTGCCATTTGCCCATAAGCAAGGTATATTATACTTTTAAGTAACCACTAATCAATAGGAATCGAACCCGTGCCATTTGCCCAATACGTACGATTCCATGTGAGGCAATTAGTCATCCACTCGTACCGCAGTCCCACGGTGGATACCTTCGTCCGTGGATACTCCACACAGAAGGACGTATGCATGGATGCCCAATACGTACGATTCCAGACATATGCATGGATGCCCAATACGTACGATTCCATGTGAGGCAATTAGTCATCCACTCGTACCGCAGTCCCACGGTGGATACCTTCGTCCGTGGATACTCCACACAGAAGGACGTACGCATGGATGCCCAATACATACGATTTCAAATTTAGGGGTAGGAATATACCTTGCTCAAGGGTATATTATACTTTTAAGTAACCACTAATCAATAGGAATCGAACCCGTGCCATTTGCTCCGATACCAACTGTAGCGCACCTTATCTCTCTCCCCTTAAGCCAACTAGAAAAGGGGCAATTGCTTGATGAGAGAGCCCTTAGTGGCTATTTTATCCCCATTTATCCCCCAAGGTTTCAAGGATCCACGGTGACAGTATATCCAAATCTCATCCCATGATTACATGCGCTACAACGGCCCTGTCGTGGAGAATCGCCGAGAACCACACCATGAGGAATGAGATCCCATCGATCCCCCACACGCCGGCGCTCATCACCAGCGGCAAGATTGTAACCTGGGAAACGGCGGGATGGAGGAAGGAGCCAACGCCGCCGAATCGATTCCACAACAACCACGCCGTGGTCCAGATCGACGCGAATACCAGCGGCTGGGACGTTCTTGCTCGGTCAAAACGCTTCCTGTAGCCGATGCTTGCAACAAATGGGAGGAGAAGAAACATCCACAGCGCCAGTGCCCAAATTCTTCCCACAATTGGCACGCTGCTGGTGGTGGAGTTGTCCAGGCTCACCTTTCCCAGGAAGAATGCCAGGAACGCCAGGCTTGTGGCAGTGGTGTGGAGGATGAGCATCAGGAGAATTGTGAGCGCCCCAGAGCTCCATGAGCAAGAATTGTGCGAAATCCCTGATTTGTGGAAGAAATGCAAGAGGAAAAATGGTTGGAGCCAAGAACAAATTGCAACAGTTTGGAAACCAAAGAAGAAAGTGCACGCCACCGAGAGAATGGCCAACGGTGCCACCTTCTTCATGTCTCTTGGTGCTTGTTTAATTTATATTCTTATTATATTCATAAAAAATTAAAATATTTATAAGGTGAAAGAAAAATACTATAAATATTTAGGGAATATACTTTAATTTATTTGTTTTAATTTTTTCACTCATAAAATTCGTTTGTAATCAGTGCTTAATAGTATATCTTAAATATAGACTAAACGTCTAAAGTTAACTGAAATCCCTCAGAGGAAAAAAAAAATTGTCCTACTTGACTTTCTTGTAATACAAGACTCCTATCCCCTTCCCGATATTTACATCTTCTTTCCCACTTGTATTTTTTGGATTATAAAATATTAAAACCATGAAATAATTATATTTGTTTAAGCTGCTACCTAGAGGTCATTAATATTTGATATGGCCAAAGATAACTCACCATCATTTAAAGAAATTTTTTGATTTTTGGACTACAAATTTTTGAATTTTTGCTTTGTTCCCACCAAGTTGCAAAAGTTATTGAAAACAATCTAAAAAAATGTTATATTCAAACAGGGCTATTATTCTGATTTACATAAAAGTTTAATATAAAAAGAAAGAACCAATTATACTTTATTTTTCAATTAGTTAAAAATTTTGGGATATTTTGGATTAAATATTCTTAGGTTTGAATAATAATGCGTTAGATAACTTCCCAGAAATTAAAATTATATTAGTTGGCTAGGGGAATCACACTATATGTTTAATAAACATCTAATAAAAGAGTGGGGTTCTCAGGGGAGTGCTACTTAAAAAAATGATCAAATATAAAAAGAAAAAGTTTATGAATAAGAATGCATATCTTTTTTCAATTAGTTAAAGATTTTGGGATATTATTGTGAAATATAGAAAGAAAGAGCATATGAATAAAACATTTCATTTTGCAACTGATTAAGGGTATTAGGATATTGAGTGTTAGGATAACCACTTTTAGCACTAACTTTGATATTTTAAAATATTCTACCATCTAATAATTAAATTCATTTTGTGTTTAAACACTTTTTTAGTATATTCTACTTTATTCTACTATTTAATTTGGATTGATCAATTAGGTTAATAAAAATACTAAACAGTGTTACAAACAAATTATTCTTCTCATAATGAGTTTTTATTATTATCATTAAATATTATTTAATCTAGGCATGTTCTTACAACAATCTTTATTTTGGGTTGGATTATGAACACTAACATTCATTTTATTCAATCCTGCAAAAGCCTTTATGAAGCAAGAGAGATTTACTTGAATCTTAAAAGGAATCATCCACTTTCTGATGATTCCTTCCTCAGCAACAAACTCATCCAGATGTTTGGCAAATATGGAAGCCCACAAGAGGCACCCCAAATCTTTGATACCATCAAACACAAAGACTCCTTTTCGTGGGCTTTCACTCAAAACTCCCATTCTAAACTCCCATCTTAAACATGCAAAAGAGATCTTCGACAAAATGCCGCAAAAGGATGTCTTTGCATGGACATCCATGCTCTTGGCATATGCCCGAAATGGGCATCTTGTCAATGCCCAAAAAACATTTGATGAGATGCCGCAACACAGCCTTCTCTCATGGAGTGCAATCCTGTCAGTCCACGCACACAGCTGGGATCTAAAATATGCCGAAAGGATTATCTCCGGGATGCCCGAGTATGATCTCGTGTCTAGGAATTCCATTCTTGCGGCATACGCCCGGAACGGGCATGTAGAGGGAGCGAAACGTGTTTTCGATTCTATGGAGGCTCGTGACCTTGTGTCATGGACGACAATCTTGGTTGCCTTGTCGCAGGGCGGAGATTTGCACGGAGCAAAGCTTTTGTTTGATGCAATGCCGCAGCACGATCTCGTCGCCTGGACCACGATGCTTGGCGCGTACGGACTGAACGAGGATGTCGATTCGGCACAAAGGATTTTCCGCGAGATGCCTGAGATAGATCTCGTTTCGTGCAAAACCGTGATGCGATGCTGCCGTGATGCTAGACAATCAAAGCTTATATTTGACTCCATGGCGCAGAGAGCTCTCTTGTCGTGGACAACAATGCTCGCTGTTCTTGCCAAGAACAGCCCCGGGGAGGAAACCAAGAGCTTTTTCTATCAAATGCCGGAGCTTGATCTTACTTCCTGTACGATAATGTTGCTCTCACAACCCTCAGACTAGGAGCTTGTGAAGATTTTATCAAATGCCGCAGCTAGACCTGTGCTCTTGGAACTCTATTCTTTCGGCGTATGCTCAATCTGGGCATTGTGACTTTGCTTTAAGACTCTTTAACGAGATGCCCGAAATGGATATGGTTTCGTGGAACACAATGTTAAATGCGTTTGTTCTAACTAGCAAACTACGTGAAGCTGCTTTACTCTTCACGACGCCAAAGATCTAATCTTAAGCATGCCGTTCGTTCCCAGTGCTCTCGAGTGGACGTGCCTTCTCGGAGCATGCAAGAGCCACGAGGATTATAACAATCTAATACTGGGAGACGATGTAGTGAGATCTGTAATGGACGTAGCCGACGCAACCCCCAAGACACCCTATGCTTTACTAGCAAATGTCTACACAAGCTCCCAAACAAAAAATCAATGATAGCGCGTGGA